TTTTTCTGTAGATATGTATTTAATCCAATTTTTGAATTGCATTCTGCAATAAAACATAGCAGAGAACAAAAATTTTGCAGCAGAATCTTTCGTTCAACATTGAGAGAAACGTGCCGAAGTATAAACAAAAACTCCTAAAGTAAATCCATGCGTATGTTTATTGTGTAAAGCAAACTGCCCCTTCTCCTTAAAAGCATTCATTACATTAGCAAGCAACCGTGTCAAAAACTACTGCGTCATTTGCGGAGTCTAAATTTTCTAATCACAAGCAAATTTCTTACGCCTTTTAATCGAAATTTATTGCAGGCCTCTACGTTCAGCGGCTTCACCACGCTGTCCTCCTCCGTTCGCTTTATATTCAGTGGTGTCAGAGCGGAAGAAGAATGGAGGCTCCCATCCCACTATCTCCCACCTACCAAATCAGTCACACTCCCAAGATAATGCAGGTACCTTAGATGCGCGTGGACATCGACACGACAAAGAGTGTGCTGAACATCAAAAACATCGTACAAAACAAAAAATTCCCATCCCTAAAGAACAGCAGCATGAGAAAGAGAATGTATCAATTTCATTGCCTAATGTGCTTAGTGATGACATACAAGTTGTTTGTAGAGAACTAGAAATTGAAAGTACCGAGCCTCCTAAGTCACTCTCGGGTGACAATTTTAATAACATACGACCAGACTATGATAACCTTAGTGAAGACTCGTATAGACTTTCTGATCATGAACGCTCAACGAAGTCAGATGTAGGCATGCCATCCAGACCAGCCTACAGCGCCAACTTCAACACCAAACGTGCTGGTAATGTTGTAGTGAAACGGGTAATTTCACAGTCAAAGTCAACACCTCAGTCTACGGACGAGGAAGATTCGGCTAGTAATTCTGTCGCTTCTACGTCAACTGGTCGCCGTCGACTGAAAGAGTATCCATTTAACTCTACAAGCTTTGTTCCAATTGAAATTGATGGCCCCAATGTTGACATTTCTGTCAGAAGAAGCACTGGGCCTATCTACACCTCAACAGGGGCTTTACTTTTGAAGCCGAAGGTTATTTCTACACATGAGAGCGAGTACTCATCCGTGAAAATCGTTCCAGAACAGATCGCACCTAGCACTTCCACGACAGCTCCTCAACAGCAGGCTCCACAAAAGCAGTTGCCGATGCATTCCGTTCAGCATCAGCCGAAGCAGCTTTCACAGCAAGCACAGAAGCAGATTCCACAGCAGCCTGTTGCTCACATCGCTCCAGTCAGCGAAGTGGAGCCAATTTATGGAGCGAGAGGTCCTCTTCCCGGAAAAGTCATCACTAAGGAGACTATGGTCATCACACCTAATGGTGTGAGGGAAAGAGGACCAAAACCAG